GACAGCTTATATGGATCAGAGCAAAACCGATTTAGTTCTGCACCTCTTGCAGGGACGCCATTGCCCATCACCTTATGGGAAGCAGAAATTTCTTCTCACGAGAATCCAAAAGATTTGTGAGAGGGCGAACATTTTCAGCCCTCTAGAATAAAAAAGAAAATTTCTTTCGGAGACTTCTCCAGTGAAATTTAAACCAGGGTTGCTATTTCATTAGCGTTAGCCTGCAGGGTCTGAAAACTGTTTTCTAAGTAACACAGAGATTGAAATAGAAGCATTACAACCTCTCTAGGCTGTCTGAAAGCCTTGGTGGAAACGTGTTAGCCAAAGTCGCAAGCTGTGTTTTTACACCAAAGTTACGAACAGTGCACAGTGTTATTAAAACCTCGCAGTTTGCATGGAAGGTTTTTTGTTAGGATTTATGTTTTAGCATTCCTTTGGCTGATTGACCACAAATCAGTTTCTGAAGTCCCCTCGTGTCGAGCAGCTTTTAGCAAACTTGTGGAGAAGTAGAATATATTCTCATTGACCACAGTGTAAATAGGAGCTTTAATGAGAGACTTCCTAGAAAAATCCCGCACTAGGCAGGCTTGTGTAGATCCAGGCAAACCAGCTGTACTTAAGAGATCTCTGCAGATTTGTTTTATTCATGTCAACTGTAATGTCGAGTACCTCAACTTTTGGATTTCTTTGGGTCCTGCAGAACTCTTAACGAACTAAAACAACGAGGAGCTAGGTAGCTACCTACAGCATCTTTCTGGCCTTGCTTCATGTCTGATAACTTCCAGTTCTGCTTAAGAAAATCCACCAACTTTTCTCTGCTTCTCCCCACGGTCCTTCTCTTTCATGCCAAGGAAATGCTTGTTTTAAAAAGTTTTGGCATCCCTGCAGTTCGGTGCTAACAGCAGGGCTCGGGGAACTAACACAGCCTGGCTGAGAGCTTCCCGATGCCTCCGTGGCTCTTCTCCGGAGGTTTCGTGGGCCTCTAGCCGTGGCAGACCTTCCCGCGCAGGTCTAGCTCGCCAAGCTTGCAATGAGCAACCTCCCGTCCCGACTGCGTGTGACCCCGGCCTTGGCCCGGCTGCGGTGCCTGGCGCCAGCCGTCCGCCTGCCTCCTGCCAAGCTGGACCCAGAAACGTTTTCATTTCTGACAAAGGGCAACTGTTTGGAGGAGTTGTTGTCTTGCTTGGTGCTCCTAATCCCTGGAATAACTGCTGTGACAAGCATAGTAACCATCTGCAGTAAGACCGATACATTGGTGCCTTTCAAATGCAGTAATCGCAACGACCTCCTGAGCCTATCGTCTTTTTTATTTTTTTTGCTTCTAAAACTTTGCGAAAGCAAGACGGGAGTTGGAAGCTCAAGCGCTGGACAAGTCAACAGGAGCTATGGTCCCTAAGCCGCGTTCGAAAATCCTACTTTTAACTGTTTGAGGAGTATCTCACCCTCTTTAGCTATTTATTTTTTTTTTTTTTTAAGTCATACATTAAGCCCCACAAGTCCATTTTAGACATCCTGATCATTTGGAGAATGTATGCCCAGTTTTGCCCAAAGTTCCCAGCCTTAGAGACATTCGGATTGCACAGCTTAAAACCGAAATGGTAGGCGGAGGCTTATGTCGGACCCCATCCGTGCAGACTAACAAGCACTAAACACAGGGACTGAAAGCTGGTGGGTTGCAGAAGCAGGGACTGGGCATTAATGACTTTTCACCTGCGCTAGACACTGTTCCGTGTGCTTACCCTTCTGTTTTCTGAAGCAAGCTGTTGTAGTATCCAGCGCACTAGGATGCAGTGCAGGGTTTAGGCAGGCTTTTTTATATTTTGGGGACACGGCTGCCCTGTGGATTTACATCCTCATATATCTGCAGCAGTGCAAATCTAGTAATAGAGGTGCTGCACTGAGTATTTTTTTGTTCTTATTGCCTCACTCAGTTTTACATCAGAAAATTCCCGTTTGATATCAATGCAGAGAGTCTGTGTTCTAGACTTGCATTCTTTGAGCTGCTCTCTTGGCATGGAAATCCCTTGGGATTTTGATTTATGCTGAAAAATTCCTAATACAAAGCGTAGTTTTTTGATGCTAAAAGTAATCATTGTGTTGCAGTTACTGACTCTTAAGATAGGCCATGCTGCTTAAAGGAAAACTGCATTGCTTACATGTGACAAATCAGCTAAATGAGCAAAATCTATATGAAAGTGTCTGTCACTCCGTCAAACTTGTCATTTGCTTATTTGACCATTTCCCTGGGTATTTGAAAAAAGCTAAGGAGGACCTGTGATTGCAGGACAGGCAGATGGCATCATAAATACATCATGGAAGCTAAGCCCAGCTCCGACACGTGAGGTTTTGTGGGTGGACGGTGACGGTACATCTCGATCCAAGCCCCTGGTGCTCCGCTGCTCCGCACCAGAACGCCGCTGCGAGGCACTAGGTGCAGACCCGCGGAGCGGGAGTTTCCCAGCTCGCGTCGTCCCGGCTGCTCCGGCCGCCCGTCCTGCAGCTGCGGGAACAATGGCACAGATCTGCTTTCACGCCACAGCTGGGGAGAAACAGGCTTCTTGTGTAACAACGAAATAATGCATTCAAATTTGCTTTCTCTTCTGATGTAGGGTAAGAAAAGCAAAGTTTCCTGGGCAGAAAACCAGACAGAGGGAAAAGTGGAGATGGGTTTAATTGCTTTATTTGAATAAACAACGTCAACATTTAAATTTTTTAACTCTGAGAACTTCAATATGAAATATCGTTTTGAAACGAGATGGGGGAAGGGTTTGCTCAGAAAATCAAATCTCACGTTTACCCTCCTGGTCATACCTCTGCCTTTTTTTCCGTGCCTTTTGAACACAATTCAGCTCTCGGGGGGTCGTGCTCCCTCCTGCCAGGCAGGAGACGCCCGTTCGCCGGTGCCTCCTGGCCATCGTGCCTGTCACCTCCCTGCTTCCATCAAAAGAAGAACTATTTTTATGGTGCTGACAAAATAGGATGGTCGAGCGGTTAGACAGTAATGGATTCATGCAGCTTCCAATGTAAGCTGCCTGCAAGACAGCTGGCAAGTCTAGAGGTCATGTTTCCTTTCTTTTCATATTTTTCTTTTCTTTTTTTCTTCTGTTCTTTTTTTTTTTTTTGTCATTTTACTGCCTTATTTTCATTCCTTGCTTTTTAATAAGCAAATTCCATGGAGAGCCCCACTCAGTGCAGTGTTTTGGTATGCACAGAAACTCCACGATCTGTCAGTAGAGCTAATGAAGGGGTGCCACCTCTGCCTCCGCGGGCTGCTGCCTCCGTCCCATCTGTCCCATATTGTAGCACTATTGGTAGGTTCCCCGAATTACTCCTAAGGGCAGCGGAGGGACACCATAGGGAGCGGCAGGTTGAAAATCTCAAGCTAGGTAGGCTCGAGAGCAGGAGAGAGGAGGGCAGGCACAGCACCGAAGCGGGGAGGGGAGGTGTTCAGCAAGGCTCTTCATCGAGTGGGTCAAGGGTTCAGGACGTGCAGCTGCTCAAAGCCCACAAAGTGCTAAACCAAAGCATCGCGGAGAAGCTGAAGTGCAGCAGATGAAGCCATTTGAACCATAGCTGCTCCAGGCAATTGACCTTTGGACCTGACCTCATTGCCCTCGCAAAGCCTGGGTTCCAAATAAAACCTGGTGGAGGTCATGGGTGGGTCCACCATCGCGTCCAACCGGGTAGCGTTTGCAGCTGCTGGTTGACAAACGGTTGCGTTTATCAGCGTGGAATCAGCCGTAATGTGTTTATTCCGCTGGCTGATAAACTCGATAAGCTTTATGCATTTGATCGAAAACTTCATGTACTTTCTGCTCGTTTGGCCAGACCCTGGACGAATGAGTGGTGGCTTGATCAAATGCCCAGGAGAAGTGATCACAGCCTGAGGGATGAGTTGAACAGAATCTCCCTCGTACGCGAGTTGGTCAGAAGTACCCGTTGTTTGCTTTAATATCTGCGCGAGATCGGTGTGCCCTGCAGTGGGAACTGTCTTTAATGCTGTTAATGCTACTTGAAAGTGGGAAACTTACTTTACTTACTTTACAACCCAAGAAGTGCGACTCAGCTAATTAATTAATGAAAACCTGAAAATTTGCATGGCATTTTAAAATGAAAAGTGTTGAAAATACTTGTGCATTTCCTACTAATTCAGTGAGAGCATTGCTGCATTTGAACGAGTAATTGGGGGCACCTTAAAACCACCGTTGAACTCTTCTGTCCTACCAGTTTTGGGCATTGTTCTGCCACTTACCTGGACAAATCCAGGTGGCTTCAGCAGGGGCAACTGTTGCCC